AGCAGAGTAAAGGTGGCCATACACTTTACAAGCATCGCAAGACCTTAGTCTTGCGATGCTTGTAAAGTGATTAAAAAAACGTACGATCTGCCCATCTTGGACAGGCAGATCGTACTCTCGATCATCACAAGCCCGCCCCCCTGAGGGGCGGGCTTCTGTTGACCGTAATGCACACCGGCCCGTTCGGCATTTGTCTCCCGAGCACCGTTCAAACCAGCCGAAAATCGTACGATTTTCGGCTGGTTTTCTAGCGTGCTCCTTAGACAAAAGACGTGCGACCGTACAGTAGAAACGGTCGCACGTCTTCGTTCACACTGCTCGATTCTCGTACGATCGCGGGATTTCTCGCGATTCTCGTACGAGAATCGAGCAGTGTATGGGCACCTTTAGCCCTCTAAGAAATCTCTTCCCACCCACATGTGACAGCATGCGGCCCTGGTGATTGGATGCTCAAGTACCCAGCGCTGCATCGTGGGAGGAAGGGGATAGAGTAACACACTCTCCAAAATGTGGAAACCTTCGGCATTTCTTTTTTTCCTCTATGCCCTGTACAGGGAGCAAAGGCAAAGTGAGTATATTCAAAGGGGCATTTATTGAATTGCACTGCATATGTAAAGCATAGGCACACCTTAAGGGCCTGTTCACATGTATGGGCACATGGTAGCCTGTATGTGTAATGCATATGGTTACTTTTATTAATGTGCACTTTCAATGCGCATTGATGCATATTTGTTCATGTGTTATGTAAAGAGAGGGAGGAACTATCGAGAACTGACCTTCATTATATCGCATGAAAACCAAGTGTTCCATTCACTGTAACAGGATTCGTTAATGCACATTAATTGAGAAAAAAGCTGTAGGTATTTCTTTCTTTCCCCTGCACAGCAATCTGAACAGCCTACATAGACAACAATTTTGTTTGAACCAACCTTGTGTATCCCTATGGTTAAATGTGTGCATGGCCCCACAGGTAAATATAATGTGGTGAAGAATCAGAGCATGTAACACACCTCTGTATCTAATCTATCCAGGCAAATCAGGCAAGGTCAATTTAAAAAGCTTTCAACTTTTTCCTTTCCATCGCTGTCCACACTTAACTGGGATCCTGGATTGTTATTAGGGTTGCCACCTGTTCTGTTTTAAATGTACCTTGCCCACAGCACATACAGGACTCAAAACCTGGACTGTCCAGGGGAATCTGGGACAGGTGGCAACACTAATTGTTATCTGAGGTATCCTATTTGTCTGATAAAGTTGCTTTCAAATGCCTGTAAACCTAGATACAGTTATATTAACAATTATCTCTGGTACCCATTAAGGTCTCGTTCACACCTAGGCGTATTGCATATGCGCGTCTGTCGCGTGTTTCCGAAGGCTACTTGGCTGTATCCCAATGGAAACGCGCAACAAAACGGCCCAAAGTAGTACCTGTACCCTTTCAGGCGTGGGCCGTTTTGTAGCGCGTTAGGGACGGGCGGAAATACGCCAAGGTGGGAACGAGACCATTGAATACAATGGGATTTATATTTTTGAGCGTTTTGTAGAGCGTTCGTCGAGCGTAGAACGCGCTACAAAACGTTCAGGTGTGAACGAGGGCTTAGGCCTTTATGTCCACAAATCTAAATCAGCAAAGAGGAAAAAAGACATCTAGAGGGATTTCATGGCTGACATCCTCCACGCTGGGTCTACATGCCGTCTGCTTCTGTCGTTCCTCTGTTGATTGCACAGCTGCCAGCCAATGATAATGCAAGGTCCAGCTTTTTATGTAGAATGCTTCCACAATGGCAATTATGATTTGACTACAAGTTCCTCTCAATAAATCAACCCGATATGAGCTGCAACAGCTTAAATTCTTATTTTTATCACGACGTTGCACTAATTCTTTGCATTGATGTCATTCTGTCCTGTCATTTCACTAATGCAATGTCCATCAGTTGTTCTATGCATCATAACGTGAGTCAATTAGGCTGTGAAGGACTTCATCACCTTGTATGGGTATTCTATCCTTGGCACGCAAGAGATCCAGCTCTTTAAAGGGAACCTGTCAAGACAGAAATCTAGGTGTTGGCAGTTCTTAATCTGGGGCCGCGAGATGTGAGATTTCGGCCAGACGCTATGCGGCATCAGAAGGCTGCCCCCGTGAAGGTCTCTGTACAGGAGGATTGTAATTATAACCTGTAGTGAAAATGCTGAGGGAGCTACAAAAGAATAATTGCACTAAAAGTACATTGATCCTTTTAGTTTTAGGGTTGGGAGGTTAAAAGTTAATTGATTATGTTAGCGGTTAAATCCTATACCACTGGCGAGGATATAAAGTCTAACCATAAACTTCTATTATTTGGTCCGTAAAATTCATAGTTGGAAAGGTCTTGTTGTGTTGTCTTCTGTTACCTCAGGCAGTTTTATCAGTGAACTGTAGAAAACCTTCCCCCGTGTTATGGAGATGAGGAGAAGGGGGAGCTGTATTGAAGTCTATATCAGGAGAGCAGTCTGGGGTGACTTCTCCATACATACAGTACGGTGAGTGTTGTCACCCTAGGACAGGAATTTGTGTTACTGGCCAGGCTGCTAAGCTGCAATATCTCAATTGTTTTAGTTACATTCTGTTACCCTTGGGGTTTTATTTTTAAAAAGTTCCCCCAGCTATCCCAGTTGGCACTGACGAGTATAGGAATTTCCTATACTTTTATGAACCCCTGAATGTGTTAGCTTAATGTAAACTCTTTTTTTTTTCAATAACGAATCCAGGTCAGACAAATAGAAATTGTCAAGCAAAGTATTTCTTTACATTTTCTGCAGTCATCAGGTTTCCAAAGAGCTTCCCTGAACTTCCTGTCCAGTATAAGATCACAAGGGGCAGCGCATTCTACAGCAGCTGTCCCATCTAGTAGCTTGGAGAAGAGAGGAAGGAGGAGTGGGGAGGGGGGTAGCTTGCCTTGCTGGGCCTGTGTGTTTGTGGAGACACACACAGCTTACCAGCACACACAAGGGTGGCTCCATAGGACACTGCAAAGGAAAGGAGTCACCCTAAAACAGGATATCAGGGCCAATTTCAACCAATTTCAGTTGCGCTAGGATAAAGTGTTAAAGCACCAGCTGCAACAATGTGTATGAACGTGATCGATGTGTGCCAGTATGTTGCGCTTGGTTTGTGTATTCCACCTCCTAGTTCATTTATAAAAATTCCTTTATAGGAAGAGAGTGTTCGGTCATAAAACTTTGTTTAAAAAGATTAAATGGCAGTAAAAATAAAACATTTATTAAATAATAAATAATATAATCTAAAAAAAACGTGTCTTTTGTTTGATGAAATAATGTTTCAATATTTCCTAGTGATTTTGTGATATACAAATTCTGGGGAAGTGATTGAAACAGATAAACAATAAAACCATAAAACTTAACCCGTCTATTATTTTTTTCTAGAGTGGCCCCGCCTCCTCCTCCCTGCCACGTCCAGCCTCCTCCACCGCCGCTGCTTACTCTCATTGACTCAGCAGCGGCTATGGAGAAGAACGCAGCACTGCGCAGATCACGGTGATCTGAACAGCGGCGCGTTCGAACCCATAGCGACCCAGGCAGCCCGCACGGCATCAGGGGGGTGTCCTGCCCGGGCCCCATAGTGGCCGCCTGGGTCGCTATGGCTATTTTTACACCACTGTATATATGATGTTGATGCCACTTTATTTCCATGTCATTAAGCACAAACTGTGTTTTTCAGCATTTATTAATACAACACGGACACTGTTAAAAATGTTGCATTACAAGACATAGCTTATAGAACTCTGGTATAATTAAAGTCAGACTGGATTTAAAACAAGGAGATGGCTTTGATTGGCCCTGTTTTCCTTGCAGAGAGAACTGCTCAGCACATCTGTAACAGCGGGCACCCCTAGACTTTGCCTGTACCCACCCCATCCAATGCACTATGTTGGCTGACTGAGCAGCTCATGCAACCACACAGCAGGGAAATCTTTAGGTGCATGGTGGGAGATCTGTTTTCATCCCCCTTGTTCAGACATACTGGGCCCCTGATGAAGTCTTTCGGTGACGTAATGCATTGAACAGAGCTTGACGTTTCACAGGCATCCCACCCCCATATACTGTATATATACAGTATATTGACCTTTCCCATGCTTACCCCCATGCACTTGAAAACACTTATGAGAGTTGAGTTGAGAGAGGCAGAGCTACATGTGCTCTCTTCTCTTGTTCCCCCATGTGACACTCCCGGGTCTGGCAACTGGCCCCTTAGGCACCCTGGGTGGCACGGAGGCAAGTGGCCATGTTCCCCCCAAGTGTTGTGACAGTAGGTATACATGTCTTGCTGCTTGCTGTCATGCAAACCTTTCCCCACTCCAGGCAACCACATGTTCACTTTCTGCGTTGATCAACCTGCTGTGTGTTGGCTGCCATTTATCAGCATACGCCGAAACCAGCACCCCCC